TAGGGTTTAGGTTTTGGGGGTTTAAGGCTTAGGGTTTAGGGTTCAGGGTTGAGGGGAAGAACAGCAAGAGCTTCACCTGGGCTGGGTTTAGGGCCTCCAGCTGGGTGTTTTTGTAGTTTGTGTTTGCCCTATTCAATGTTTGGATGGTCATTGCAATCAGCATCGGTCTTACAACTTAGGATCAACATTGGGGTGCAGTACTCATGTTCTGAAACTGTCATGCGGGTAGTTTTGCAAAATGGCGCGGTCTTTCCACGCGAAGTATGGGATATACACGGATGCTTCGAGAGCTCAGAAAGATGTTGAAACTGCTGAAGGTGTATATAGCGTCTGCAGGATTTATTAGGTCCGAGCACTGCGTATGTATGTATATATTACAATATGTAAATATATATATATATATATATGTGTGTGTTATATTATATATACATACACACATATATATATATATACACACATACGTGAGTTTCTCACCTCAATGAGGTTGAGGGCTTAAGATTCCGTCATAAGGAGATCATACTGATTCCTATACCCTCCTTGTATAGCAAACTAAACCTGAGCTCCATAACAAACCCTAAACCCTGAACCCTGAACCCTAAACCCTAAACCTTTACTTAAGAGCCCAGGCGCTGTGAAGAGGAGATAAAGAGTCGCCATGAACCACCCAGGAATCGTGTCAGAGTCCAGGACCAAGTTGTTGATCTTGATGAACTTCCTCGGCTCACGATTTAGGGTTTAGGGTTCAGGGTTGAGGGTTTAGGTGGCTCGCGATTCAGTTGAGATATGTTGAGATAATTCTTTTTGACGAAGAAGTTCCCGGCTTTACGGTTTCGTCTATACCGGCCGTCGAACCTGCTAAACAAGAGGAGAGGTACCTCTGAACCCTGAGCCCTAAACCTTACACCCTAAACCCTAAACCCAAAACCCTAAACCCTAAGCCCTAAACGCTAAACCTTAAACCCTAAACCCCAAGCCCTAAACCCTAAACCCAGACCCTAACAAAACCCATAATCCTGAACCCCCGGAAGTTGCCACCCAACCCCTGCGCCCTAAGCACCAAACTCTAAAGAAGCCCTACCTGTAGTCTCCATTGTAGTTCCTTTTGGTTTAACCAACTATATACTTAGGATCCTATAAGGTAGCCCTCAAAAGGAACTACAACGGAGACTATGGGTAAACTTACAGGGAGGTCTCAACAAGGACTCCAAGTATACATACTATATGATAGAACCCTTCACTGAGACCCTACACACTAAAGTTGCCCTAAACCCTAAACCCTAAGCCCCTAAACCCTTAGCCCCTAAACCCTAAACTTTAAACCCTAAACCCTAACCCCTAAACCCTAACCCCTAAACTTTAAACCCTAAACCCTAATAAACCCCTAAACCCCTAAAACCCTAAAACCCTAAACCCTAAACTCTAAACCCTAAACCCGAACCTCTAAACCCTAAACCGTGTTGCCGCTTAGCTTCACAGAGACCTCCAACATCGCCGCCAAGGCTGGCCCGACCGCACAGCCCAGGGTGAGGCAAGCGGAGAAGTAGAAGAGGATCTCACTCCTAGGGTTTAGGGTTTAGGGTTTAGGGTTTCGGGTTTCGGGTTTAGGGTTTAGGGATCTTACTCCTAGGGGTGAAGTAGAGGGTTTAGCGTTTTGGGATGTTGTGTACGTTTCGCGGGGTTTGGGGATTTCACGCCTAGAGCTTCGGGGTTTTGGGGGTTTAGGGTTTAAAGATTTCACTACTCCGGTTCAGGGATTTAGGGCTTAGGATGTCTTGTGCATTCTGGGTTTAGGGTTTAAGGGCTCCGGATAAGCAGAGGGTTTAGGGTTGGGGTTTTGGGGCTTGGGGTTTAGATACTTTGGAAGTTGTATGGCTTGGGATTTTTTTTCGGTGTTAGGGTTTTCGGGTGGGTTTAGGGTTTAGGGATTACTTAAAGGATCATGGGACTTAGTAACTCAGGTTCTTATTAGGATAACTAATACTTATAGCTACTTATAACCCCAATTAAGATACCTATAACCCTACTTACTAAGTCCCATGATCCTTTCAGAACCCTAAACCCTAAACCCTAAAAACCTCAGTTACTAAGTCCCATGATCCTCCAAGTATGGTTTAGGAATTTCCCTAAACCCTAAACCCTAAACCCTAAACCCTAAACCCTAAACCGTCATCCGGTTCAGGCCCACGGTGCGGGAGACGTAGATGCCGGGGAGGCTGACGGCCGCGAAGAAGCCCATCAGGCCCCTGGCGATCAGGAGCGTCCACTTGAATCTCATCAAGCCAGCCAGGGCATACCTGGTTTAGGGTTTAGGGTTTAGGATTTAGGGTTTAGGGTTTAGGGTTTAGGGTTTAGGGTTTAGAGCATACCTGGTTCCCTGCTTGGGGCTATATTTAAACACGATCATGTTGAATCCTTAGTGGGCTTTATTATAACAAAAAAGGTAAACTTGTAGCCAACAAGGACCCAGAGACAGCACCGAGCCCAGGACGGTAAAGAGGGAGGAGAGGATCCAGATGTGCTTGAAAGGCACCTTTGGTTAGTAGGGAATGGAGGAATGGGGTACAATGATAACCCTATAGGGTTTAGGCTTTAAGGGTTAAGGGTTTAGGGTTTAGGGTTTAGGGTTTAGGGTTTAGGGTTGCTACCATTCTTCCATTCCCTGCTAACCAAAGGTAACTGAAAGGCACGCACGCGAAGAGCTTCTGGTTGAACAGGTTGCCGGCGATGCTAAGGATGGGCATCGCCCCAAGCATGATGCCCGCAAAGAGCCGACCGGCACCCAACCTTTAGGGTTTAGGGTTTAGGGTTTAGGGTTTAGGGTTTAGGGTTTAGGGTATAGGGTTTAGGGTTTAGGGTTTAGGGTTTGGGGTTTCGGCTTTAGGGTTTAGGGTTTAAGGTTTTAGGGAACCTTTCTGCATAGTCGTTGGCCGTCGGGATGGCAATCACACAGTTGACGGTGGCAAGCACCAGAAAGTAGTGGATTATCACCTTAGCTCCCTAGTACCCTGGCTCAAAAAAGCTTAGACTTTTCTTTTGGTAGGGGTTTAAGGGGTTTAACATACCAAACAAGTTTGAAGTTTTCTTTTAGTAGGGGTTTAAGGGGTTTAATATACCAAAAAAGTTTAAAGTTTACCTATTAGGCTCCTAAGTCACCAAGGAGGCAGTGGGAGGCATTCGGTCCTTGTCCTCCGGCTTCTCTGTGGTCGTGGAGGGAGAAGGCTCCTTCTCACCAGGATTAGAACCTTGGCTGAACCGTTCATCGCCAGGAAAAGCTTACACAATAATAGACAATTTGTAATATCAACTATGTAATACCTAGTGCATACTATATAACCCACGGTATATAGTTAATGTATAGTATACAGACTTTCAGTTTCTGATTCTAAGGCGGGCCTTACCATCCGAATGATTATGTACTTACTCGGCTACTAAGGCCACGAAGGGGCCGAAGTCCGAGCAAGTCTCAGCTTCGGTTACCGTGCACGTCATGGTGGCCATGGCGAACACCCCTCTTTGAAGGCAAGAGAGAGCGACGAAGGGCAGTAAAGTTTGAGCACGACTGGATGCAGCTTGCAAGCTTGCAGGAAGCTAAGAGCCAGTCTTGCTGTACAAGCAGGTGTCAGGGCTTTTCTGAAAAGCCGTTTGCAAAATCTTCGCTGGTACCTAAACCCTAAACCCTAAACCCAACTACATCGAACTTCGAGAACCAAGGCATGTGGCCAAGTCGACTCTGCATGGAACTTTTGTTTTAGGATATATCTCGGCGGAGCACCTCCTAACTTGGGGGTTCCTACTTAATATAGGGTTTAGGGTTTCAGGTTTAGGGTTTAGGGTTTGAGGTTCGGGGTTACCTATAATATTCTGCGGGTTCCTTCTTATAATTATAGTATAGTCTACCCCGTCTGCACCGCGTCTATGCGTGAGCACTTCAAAGCACGTGATGGAGTTCAATGTTCCGAGGAGATAACGTCTTCTTTTGCTACTGGAATCTTGCGGGGCAAACCTTTAGCAGCCTCGTTTCTTCTGCATTCTTTCTCTTCGCGATGCAGGCAGTAGTGGATAGTGCCGAAAGTCGGCTGACATGAAGGGCTTGTTGGGAGGAGTGGATATCCAAGTCTGGACACCGATTGTTCGAAGTGCAAGCGACTGAAAGCAATTCCCAAAAAGGTCGGCTTCACGCCGCAATGACATGCTGCATGACAGGACGGATTGCAGCGTGCATGCTCACAGAGGCTGTTTGTTTTCGGTGTCATGAAACTTTGAGCCGAGATAAAGGCGCTGGTCTTGGAGTTCAGGGGCTTAGCGGTTAGGGCTTAGAGTTTAGGGGTGGAGGGTTTAGGGTTTAGGGTGGCAAAATGAAGATGGTCAACGCGCTGGCAGTCTCCGTGATCACGAGTCGGACCTCCTGGCAAAGGCCAGCTCTGATTAAGAAATACGGTCTGCAAGCTGAAGGTTCAAGAACAAAGACTCCTAGCAAATGCTTTCAGTTAGGGAGTACCCTAAACCCTCAACTCTCAAGTAGTTGAAGGTTTGATCCAGGTATTGATTCAGCAACGGCTTTGCAAAGCAGATGTGGTGGCAGTCTTCGCTAGGCGCTTGTGGAAGGCGAGAATGCTGCAAGGCCACACACCTCAACTCCAAACCGGGGTTTAGGGTTTAGGGGTTACCGAGTTACCTTCCTGACAGGCTTTGACCCAACATCAGGCCTGTGAGATGAAAGCAGCTACTGGTAGGACGTGGGCAAGTTGAAGCAACCGTAAGTGAACTGATCAGCCCGGCGCATCGATGAACTACGCAGGTTGATTGCGGTGCCAAACTCTCACAGAAGGCCTACTTTCCAGGCAGTGTGCAACCCGGAACAACCGACATCCCACCACCTAGTTGTGATACAAAGCCTAAACCCTAAACCCTAAACCCCTAAATACTAAACCCTGAACCCTAAAGATCCTAAACCCCGCTGGGGCTTAGACTGAGCCACCTTCTGCTTCAGCCCTGACCTGAAAACCTTCACTGCCACGTCTTCAATCGAGCTGCAACGGTTTAGGGTTCAGGGGTTTTGGGTTCAGGGTTTGGGTTTGGGGTTTAGGGTTTAGGGTTTAGGGTTTGGGGTTTTCTGGTTTAGGGTGGTCTACAGGATTGCTTCAACCCTAAACTTTAACCCATCCTGCAAAAGTGACAATCAGCATCCTTCGTCGGGCAGCTGGAAGAGCCGAAGAAGTGGCCTCCAAGATAGACCTGTCCCAGTTTAGGGTTTAGGGTTTAGGGTTTAGGGTTTAGGGTTTATGGTTTTCATGGTTCGTGATCTAGGAATCTAGGACTCTGCCTATCAGGGAGTCAGTCTGAAGCGAATCAAGCACTCTCGCTGCCAGGTTACGGGTCATCCGAGGTTCCTAAAAGTTCTTACAACAACAGTATGCAACCTGCATAACACAATCTGAAACCCGATAGCTCCAGCGATAAACTTCAACAAATTCATAACACTGACATCTTGGCCTGTCAATGTAGTTCCATCGCAGCAAAGATCTGCGTGTGTGCGTTGCCTGGCCAGCGCTACAGGGCAGCACGTGTATATCAATCGCGTTGTTTGTGACATTGCCTGCACCCTTAGCCGCTTGTTGAGGTCGGAACCCTCATGCATAGACGAAAAATCTGAGCAGTCGTCAAACTCTGAGCTGGGCCCACTGCGAGCTCAGAAAATCAATTGCATTGCTTGCGGCTTTGCCGGCACCCTTAGCCGCTTGTTGCGCTGGGAACACTTGCATAGACGAAGAATGTGACTATTCGTCAAACTCTGAGCACAGCCCACTGCGAGTTCAAGCTTCGCTCCTATTCAATGCCGAAATCAATCGCGTTGCTTGCGACATTGTCGGCACCCTTAGCCGCTCGTTGCAGTGGGAACACTCATACAGCATGCAAAGACGAAGAATGTGAGTAATCGTCAAATTCTGAGAAGAGCTTAATGCGAGCTCAAGCTTCGCTCAATCGCGTTGCTTGCGACATTGCCTGCACCCTTAGCCGCTTGTTGCGGTGGGAACACTCATGCATTGACGAAGAATGTGAGCAATCGTCCAATTCTGAGCAGAGCTCAATGCGAGCTCAAGCTTCGCTCCTATCCAATGCAGCCAGGGGTTTGACCGGGCCAGTGGCATCAGGCAGCTGCTATTTCGAGCAAGATGCTGGGTTGTTGCTCGTGCGATCTGAATGTCCTGTCGATGTCAAGGTCCGTCCGGTACGAGTACGAATTGTACCAGTGGAGGCTCGGACATCACATTTCGCCGGCGTTGCGCCGACCTCCAGCCTCAGCTTGTTGAGACTCACTTGCAATGCCGACATCTGCCGCTTCATGTCCTGGAGCTCGCCCTTCAAGTCCTTGTGAAGGTCCACGGTCTTCTGAGAGCCAGAGCTGTCAAGAAGAAGCCAAATCTGGCAATCAGACGCCGGAACGAAGGATTGAGCCCCATGCCAGCCAATGGAAGTAGCAATCACATGCAAGATACCTTGATAACGGACAACGAGTTGCGAGAGGAAAAACAAGATAAAGCCTACCCAGACGAAGGGTGCGGAAAAGGGCAGTAGGACAGGCAGAACACGTCTGCAACGATACTGCTTCTGTTGGTGCTCGAGGTAACACAGCAACTGTTTGGCGCCGTTCTCTCGGAATGCTGGCAGGTGGTACAGGAGGAAAGGAAACATGGAAATCTTCATGGCAACCCCGAGGAATGAGCAGCTGCAAGAACACTCGGTGGCTCCCCCTGGTCTGACTGTCACCTTTGCTTTGGCATCTTTGGCTTCTTCACGATGACTTTCTGTCCCCGTTGGCTGCACACCTTCGAAGCCTTCTCTACCTTGGTTTTGCGCAGATCCCTGCACTTCGCCATCAGTCTGTTGCGAAGGGTCATCTCGAGAACCTGATTTGAGGAACACGCTTGTCGCCAAGCATCTCCAAGGCCGGTTGCTCAACTCCAAAACCATCTTGGCACGAGCCTGTAACAGCAATGTTGAGCGCTCTGTTCTGTAGCGGGTGTAGCTCTCACTGATCACAGCTATCAAGATGTTCATGAGGAGGATAGTGATGCCCCAACTGATCACGTAGAACAGCCCATGTGTCAATACCCAGTTTTGGCCAGGAGATTGTGATTCATTGATGCGCTGATAGCTCACGTCAAGCCCCTCAAACTCGAAGAGGTCGAAATCCCCCAAAAAGGCAAGTCTCATGACCCGCATGAAGGACACGTAAAGGGGCCAAGGTTGGTTTGAGTCTTGCCAGGTGGTCTCCAGATCATAGTGTGCATGGGTTGCTGCAAGTGTGCAGACTGATATGACGAAGAGAAACCCGTTTGACTCCCGCACTGCGGCCAGGACAGGCAGTAGGTTGGGCCCCAGCCACGACTCTCCACGAGGGCTGTATACGGCCCTGAGCCACACCATGGCAGCAAAGATTCCCATGAACGGCTTGTACTCACGTGTGCCGCTGTCCTCATGCCACTTGCACATGGCCACCCACCCGAAACTCAGATACACAAGATCGGCGAGGTTATCGAAGTCAAGGAGCAGCCAGGTTTGATGCCAGAACCGACGCCACAACCGACCACAATGGCCTGCGATGCTGTCGCCGTTGCTGTTGTTACTGCTGCTTCTCCGGCGACAGCAGCAATGCTTCAGATTCAGGATCTGAACAATCTCTTCGGAGGTCTTCTTGCTATGAAAGATCCATACAACGGCAAGGCATCTCCCTTCCAGTCGCTTGCGTTTTGCGATACATAAGTTGCATAGCACAACAAGAGTACCAGTACGAGGCAGCATCCGATCTCGAAAGTGTCGGCCCGTGCCTGCTGCCATGCTGCCAATACGACAGCTTCGACGGCATCCGTCTCAAAAATTGCAAGGTTCTTAGTATGTACCAGATACTTCAATATTGAGAAGGCATCTTTGCCTGTCAGACCTGGCAGAACCTTGAGGGTTGTCCGCTTCTCGGGAGAATTGAACAGATTCTGGTTGGCGAGGTCGACATCAGTCTTACGGACCACTTCAGCACCATCTTCAATTGCCGAAGCAAGAACTACTCGGAGACGTTCATGTTGAGTCAGGTTGGACCGCTTCACAGGAACTGAACGTTGCCTGCTCGGGTCATACTGTTTAGAGACTTGAGGCCACATGTGTAGCAACATGACAGCCTCCGGCGCTTCAGCTTTGATCCAGCTGACAAACAGATGCTTTGTTAATGTTTTTTTCTGAAGCTGTTTCTGAAAGAAGAGGCTCAGCACTTCCTCGGCGGCTAGGTCTGCATCGCAAGCTTTCTTCTTCAGGAGCATCTCCAAAACATCCCAATGTGCCTTCTCTGCCGCATTCCCCTCGGCCGTGTCGTCCACGTTTGCTCCATGATCCAACAGCTCATCTGCCACACTCTCATGCCCATGTTTAGCTGCATAATGCAGCGCTGTCATTTTGCTAGCTGTGACAGTATTGGGATTTGCACGCCGGTCAAGGAGACACTTTGCAATTAGATGATTCCCGGCCTCTGCTGCAAGATGCAGGGCGGTTTTATTATCACCAGCCACTCTGTCAACTTGGGCCCTGGCAAGTGCTAAAGCGTCTACCATTTTCTCATCATTGCGCGCAACAGCCATGTTCAGCAATTGAGTCTTTCCAACATCAGCATTAACATCAGCACGGTTCTCAATCAGGAGCCAGCAGATGTTGTACTGGTCGCAATCTGAGTCTACTGCAATGGCGAGGGCGGACCAACCACGGTCATCAGCAATGTTGACATCAGCACGGTTCTCAATCCGGAGCTTGCAGATGTCGTCCAGGTTGCACTCGACTGCCACGGCGAGGGCTGGCTTCCCATATCGCACTTTGTTGAGATCCACTCGCTGCTGGATTATCTCCTCTATCTTGTCCCGGTTCTTGCCGTCTTTTACTAACTCATGCAAATCATCCCGTCGACTTGTGAGCAGAGAACTCACTCCACCAAAACCCCCAGGATCGACTTCCACCAGGGAAGACTCGAGGTCTGGGTCTGAACGAGGCTTGTTATCATGTTGCCGTGGAGCTCTTGGTCGCGCTGGAATTTTGGTTGTCCTGCTACGCCTTCCGCTTTGTAAACCATCCACCAGGGCCATGAATGTCCGTGGCCTGTGGTCGCACCCTTCCGGCGGCTGCAGAGCTTGTGCCAGCAACGCTGCCGCAAGGTTCTACTAATAAACCCAAACCGGGCTTGCAGCACGAATCCCAAACTCCGAGCCCGCTTTCCCATCAGACCGTGCTGTGCAATCCCTGCCTCGGCAAGATCATAGGCCGCAGCACCTGCATCATGACCCCTCTCCCACCCCACAGCAAAAGAATCTGCAGAATCTTGGGGCAGTTGTGAGATGGTTGAAACAATGCAGCAATCGGCTCAGTACATGATTACGGCGATGGCACAACCTACATCACATAGACAGCACATCCACGATAAACCCTAAACCCTAAACCCTAAACCCTAAACCCTAAACCCTAAACCCATGCCCCAGCAGACGTCTTACATCTGCTCAGGACCGCCAGGCCTCGGGGATGAGCCGCCGGCCATCCGAAATGGCGCCACGCATGCCGGGTTCTTGTTCAGGGATGTCATTTAAGTTACCGTCATAAGGAAACCCTATTATTTACTATG